CTGTTATTTGTGAACCAGAAATTGAGCTCAATCTTTTTTTGCCAAAAGCCCCTCAACATATTTTTTTTGGAAAAACTCCCTGGAATTCAAATTAGGAAATGGCTGCTCGGGCTCTGGAACACCTAAAAACTTACATAGGGGACCCCAACCCTCTTTAACATTAAAAACTAACAAATTCTCTTTCTTGATACTTCTTTTCAGCTCTTCATTCCAATCCAAATACAACTTCTTCACATCAGTTTCTTGTTCTCTTGGATCAGCTCCATAAACTTTTGTCAGAAAAGCATAAAAGGATTCTCTAAATTCATGCCGTGCAGAATTGTCATCAAATTTGAACCTAAAAAGAGTTGCTCGAACAGATTCAACCCACTTCTCAGGATTATCTCGCACAGTAAGAATCACTTTAGCATCGGGATTCCACCGAAGGAACTCTTTATAAAATAAACATCCAGGGTAATCCGTAGTAGCCACATAACCCCTGAAGGCTTCTTTCAGTTTTTCACTCTTGTCCTCACTGCTGCTGAATATCTCTTTCCACATTGGCCACAAATGCTCTTGATTGTCAGGGAGTAATTCTGTCATATGATGGCAGGGTCCAAATCCTAACAGAACAAGTGCTTGCTGCAGGGATTTAGTTCCAGTACGACCTAGTCCCGCGCCAATAACTTTCAAATCAGTCATGATCTGAAAACAAGAAAATCTCTTTAGCTCATCAGTGCACATTCCTTAAAATTTTTGGTCAACTGAAAGTAAATATTAGACAGGAAAATATTGAGTTTGAAATAAAATAATACACTGGAGTCAAACTTGCATCTTCGACCCACCATCCAAAATACCAAATTGACTGTAATGTGCAACAAAATTGTCGCTACATGTCCTGGCTCGGTTGTTCAAAGTTAAGGTAAGTGCAAACTTTGATTTTATATATGAAAGCTTAAAAAAGATGCATATTCAGTATTATTCCTCTGGTCTACTTAATAGAGAAAACTATCCGCAAAAGTGCTTTTGAAGAAAAGAAAAAGTAATCCGGATTAAAATTTAACCCTGGGTTAGCGCTAATCAGTCTTCAAACAATTGGGATCAGGAGTGCAACTCTAAACGGGTGGCAGGGATCCATACAAGACTGAACCACCCACAATCACCTGTGCAAATCCACGTCCTTTGTATCGTTTGCGACATCATCATATTTCTTATCATAAGTGTGTACATGCCGCTATTGTCCCTCTATTTGCCCCTGTTCCAGAAAGAGGGAGGTCGATGGAGTTGCACATAACCTTTCAGAGTTGTCAATCGATATGACTGATAATCAGTACTATATTCAATTAAAATGAAAGGATTCGTTATGAGCAAATTAATAATCTTTATTTTTTTCCATCAGTGCTACCTATATCTGTTTAGCTTTGATATGTGCAGAGATGATCGCGCAAAAAGAGAGAAGAGTATTCCAGGTGAGACAGGATTCTGGGGTGGAGGGGCAGGGGGGGGGGGAGCCTCAAAAAAGTTCTATATGGGGAGGCTTAGCCAGAGGTCCAATTCCTTAATTCGTTACCCTTTATACCTTAAAAATCTCATACTATGCCCCCTGTTTATATATTTGTGAAAAGTGATACTGGGGGGGGGAGCCTCAAAAAAGTTCTATATGGGGAGGCTTAGCCAGAGGTCCAATTCCTTAATTCGTTACCCTTTATACCTTAAAAATCTCATACTATGCCCCCTGTTTATATATTTGTGAAAAGTGATACTGCAGTTGATGGATTTGGTTTAAATTGTCTAGCCTGGGACCAGGCTCCACAGTGGGGTAAAAAGACAAAAAAGAAAAAAAAAATCGGTGAGCGAAGCAAACTGAGTGGGAGTCAGGAAAAGGGTAAGGGTAACAGAGGCGCCACCGCCCTTTCCCCCTCCCCAGTCCACTGCTTGGCTCGCTTAGCTCACCGATTTTTTTTTTGTTTCACCCAGTTTTTCGCCTTTTTCCCTACTGCGGAGCCTTTTCCCATGCTAAATATTGTCTATTTGATTACTCAATAAATTATTAAACGGCACTGGCAAAGATCACGAATTGAGATTTAGCACATATGGCTGACAGCTAAATAGTTCTTGTGGAACAAAGAGGTAGATCGAGGTTGTTTTGCAGGTTTTTTGCGATAGTTCTGTAGCTCTTTTTAGGCCATTTTAAATACCATTTTAGCTCACTATAGATTCACTATCACGCAACAAAAAAATAAATTGGAAATCGTACAGGGTAAGAAGCCAAGAAAATGAAATGTTATAAAAGACTTATTTTTAAACAATTTGTCCACGTCTCAGGTCTTTGTGGCCCACAGTTTCTGAGTTATTTGCCAATGTTTCACGCACCTTTGTAGAGCTTTGTATGGAGACGCCATATTGGTGGAAAGTTTTGGAACCGGAAATCAACAAAAACATCTGGAGTCCACTTTTTCTTTAAAAGCTCTTTCTTTTCACTCGAGAACTAGCATACGTGCGCATAAACATGTCCTCTAATACTTCAAATGGTTATACTGCTGAAAATCAAGAGGAGAGACTTTTTTTAAAACGAGACAGCATTCCTATTTTGGTGTCATGCACTGTTAAAACTCGGAAGTTCAAGTTGCTGTATTTTCAAAATGAAACATTCTATGGGAATGGAAACTTGTACAAAGATTTATTTTTTGTCTATCTTCAACCTAGTGTAAATAAGAATTCGTAAAACCTCGCTATTTTGACTTTACAATTTGATGACGTCACTATGAAAACCATCTATGGGTTATTCCTTCTTTTAGTTATTATGCTTTAAATAATCTTGAATAAAGTAGCTGCTTATATATATATATATATATCTTAAATTAAAACATATACAATTTTAGCGATGTATGTTAATGAGTTTGAAACAAAGAAAAATATAATTTAAACCCAGGATAAAATTGAACCATAAAGCCCCATGCAAACGACGATGAACATAACTTGTCGGCCAACAACTCCTGACATTGTTGGATGTTACATGTTGCGTGCATTGGTACACCCTGCTGAATGTTATTGTCTTTTGTTGGGAGTTGTTGTACCCGTTTGCACACCATCACCAACATGGACACAACAACTCCCAAACTTGTTGGTGTCCGTTTGCTCGAAGATTACATGTAACATATATCCAATAGATGCACAGTGAGAAGTGGATGATAAGAATTTTTGGCTCATCTGAGCGAAATGCACAGATTGTGAACAGATCTTTCTTTATTGCCCCCGCAGGGGCCGGAACCCGAGGAGGAACCCTAATGTCCCCCGCGTAAAGTAAAAGTATCGTATCGTCGTAGTGTTAGTATGCGAAATTTTCTCGATTTGATGAAACTAGGCGCGTACGGTGGTCCCGGTTAATTTTCAGCGTGTGCGCCTGGCTCAGCAACCGCGCAAACTGGGTTTGTCAACGAGTCGCATTAGCACACACAAGCACAACAAGTGGCTCCAAATCCTCGCCCAGGAAGATTTTCCACCGAAACTCCTCTGGAGCGAGAACGCCGACTTCAAATTCAGCGTGAACAACGAAGGAGAAGACGTCAACAAGAAACCGCGGAGCAGAAGGAACATCGATAAGCACAGCGAAGGCAACGCCGACAGCAAGAGACAGAGGAACAGGACATTGGAATCAGAGGAATTATGATCGTTTTATGCACTAGTCAGTGGAAAGCCCCGCACCCCCATACCCGGGGAATGCGGGGCATTAGGGGGGGATTTTAGCGGTTTTTAGTGGTCATCTTTGCCCCATTGTGCGGGGTGTTCGACAACATTAGACACAAGTAACAGCGACCGGGGACCGTTAGCGGGGCTTTGGCGGGGATTTCGCTTTTGAAGCAATTTTGAATAGGCCCGCAAAGAACACTGGGAAAGCGTATGACCTCAAAATGGCGGCCGCCAAAAGGAAGCTATGAACGATTTAAAATCCATTCTTTTCATGCCTGTAATGGGCCATCGATTAAATTCTGTGTTCAATCTCTAAATATGATAATGTCTTGTAGTGAAATTAGACAAGGTTGGGTATTGTTTATGCCCTCGTCATGCTTGATTAGCGATTTATTTAGAGCGTTGACCTTTTGTCTTTTGGCACTTGTTTTCATTTCCGTTGCAACTGTGCAGACCGAGCCAATGGGCGTTTTTTATTTGTTGTTTTAAATAATTGTATTTGTTTTTTCATTGAAATATGTTTCTATAATGTGCTCAGCGTGTCAATTTACTTTTAAAAGTTTTGTGTTGGATCAACGAACGATGATCGTTGGGAACGATCACGTGATGTGGTTAAGATGGACGGCCGCGTGTTTAAGTGCTCCGCGTAACATTTCGTAAATTTCTGATGTTTCAGTGTTCCTTCTGCTTTTTTCTATTTGTTTTGTTATCTTGTTTCGCGCGTCATATTATGCCTGAGTCTATTGCCAACCTAAAAACAGAAAATAACGATCTCAAATCTAAGTTTCAACATTAACGGGGGGGATTTCAAGACTAAAAGATTTAATTCAACAACAAAGCAGCAGTCGAAGTTTCCCGTCTTATTAAGTTATTTAATACTTTAGGTTAGCCTCTCTTCGTAATCGTTATGTACTTACGTTGTTTTATGTTAGTTTAAATTCTATTTACTGTATAGTAGTGTCTTCACTGTTATTTAGTCCATCTATATATAAATCTTGTTTTGTAATATGTCTTCAGCTCCCCCCACCTCGATTAGTTCATAAGCTATTTGCGGGTGAGAAAGTAATGTAATCAGTTATTTTCCAATTTTCAATAAACTTTGTTGTTGTTGTTGGATCGGATCGATTTTCAGTTTTCCGTCACATCTTCTAGTCAGGGGCACCCAACGGGAATATAGTTCAAAACCACTTAAACATAGCACTTTTAAACGTATTTTAGTATTTAAACGGTAGATAAAGGCATATTTTTATCCCCTAAAAATTTTTCATCTGCTCGGATTTCCTAGCTGAAAGTCTAGTGATCCGAAAATTATAGGGATCAAAACTTTCCTTCTCGAAAATTTCAGCTAGAAAATAGGCTCCCGAAAATTCTAGGTGACCTTTTTAGGGTAAAAATCCGTTAAAAATAGTCAATTATACCATTTTTTAGATGTTCGAAAATCCTAGGAGAGGCAGGCAAGCAAGAAGTTTTACAACAAATGTTTCGAAAATTCTAGATCTCAAATCGTCTTCCGAACAGATATTTTTCCGAAAATTGTCTTTGGGTGCCCCCGTCTAGTTATAAACATCAGTTCAGTATATTTATATTAAAGGCAGACGGTGTAACTTAATGGAATAATACAGTATATTTTAGCTTTTAGGCGCTCCATTGTGTAGACCTCAATCATTCATCTGGTGAGAATGTTTAGTAATAAAGCAAATACAAATAGGTACGGCCACATGTGTATATGAATATAAGCTTACATTTGCTAGTCATTAATCGATTTTGATCTTAAAGCTTATTGAAGGCTTTAACCTTGTGTTTTAAGTGGCAATGAAATTATTGTTTTTCAAAGGTTTTATTTCAATATAAGGACAGCAGGTGGGCAGTGGACATTTGTGAAACTGAGGGTGTCATTATGCAAATCAAGGATTATTACAAACTCAGCAGCACTGCTGCTGTGGTGTTACAGAAATATTCAGAGACTTGTGATTTTTTAAGTATTGCCCCGGGGGCGAAGTACAAAAATGAGGTTTTGACGTAAGAAATTGCCCCGCATAGCGGGGAATTTGCTT